GCTGCTGGGTTTGGAACTCAAACCACACAGTTGGCCATGTGAGATACAGCTACTCTAACCATCACATCACTGGCTGGTCTCCCTTTTTAATTAAAAAAAAAATTTACTTTTTCCATGGGTAGAGGAGAGAGAGAAGGAGGCATCCCCAGTAGGGTCCTGATGTGCCAGCCTCAGCATGCCTAAATCATGGGCATGCACGTGTGTGGCATGCTCAGGGAGGCTCTGGGATGTAAACCCAGAACCTGTCCCATGTGGGTCCAGTTACATTACTGCTGCGCCTCTACCTGGCCACCTCTGTCTCCTTTAATCCAATCTCTGTGGAGGCTCTGCTGTGTTCCGACCCCTACCCTAGGTCTACACTTATTGCCTCCTTAGCTAGTCTTCCTGCCTCCCTTTCTCTGCTCTGTTGTTACCTGACTTCGCCTTGACTTCTTTTTCACCCCTGTTTCCCTGTCCCCAGATGTCCTTGAGCCAGTCGGTATCCATCCATTTTCCTCCCAGCCTCCAAGTCCCCCCACCCCACCATGGGCTCTTTCTCTTGGGTCTCCCCGGCTGCCACAGCCTCTCCTCTCTGCGCCTTGGTCCTTTTCTCTGACCCTGCCTGAGCCCAGCCCCTTCTGCCTTACTCCTTTCCCTGGTTAGTGGCGCCTGGTCTGAGCCCTGAGCCGCTCAAGTGGCCTGAGCTTGTTTAGTCTGACTCCCTTAGCCCGTTAGCAGCTTAGCCCTCCCACCTCTCCTTTGAGCCCTCCAGTAAACAAGAGGATCAGCGCAGACCTGACAGCTGCTAGGTGGGGGCAAGTGTCTGGCCAGGTCAGAGCCAGCATGAAAAGGAGGCTGTACTCACGCTGCCATGCCTTCTTCAACCAGGGAAACTCTGAGGTCTCTTTCCGGGGTGTCCTCCTTAAAGTTACATTCACGGGCATGTGTGTGGGATTCCCTGCCTCTATGACTCCCCATCTCCATTTTGTGGCTGGTTCCTAGGCCTTGATTTTTGGTTCCACTGAGAAAAACAGCACAGGATCCAGGCAGCACACAGAAGCCTTTCTTTCGAATGATGACTTGATGTCTGCTCCATAGAACGGAGTAGGCGTGGGATGAGAGTATGCCATCTGATCTATTATGATTGCATGGTTGGAGAGGACCACCCAACCTCCATCGAACACACACACTCATGTGCACGCACACACCAAGAGAAGCTGGGTTAACTAGGCATTCTGTAGACCAGAGGTTCTTACACTTCAGTGTGCATCAGGATTGCTTTGTAAGGCCTGCTTAAACAGGTTTCTGGGCTCTGATCCCAGAGTTTCTGATTCAGTAGGTTTGAGATGAAACAAGAATATTTATATTTCATATTTCTAACAAGTTTCCAGGTGAGATTGGTGCTCCTGGTCTGGGTAACACACTTTGAAAAACACTATCTCGGATAATCTGCATCTATTAGCTCTTCTCCCACACCTAAGGCTGGGATCAGGTCACTGTGTTATGTGGGGTCTCTCTCTGGGTTGGGAAAAAGTGCTGTTCCCCATGGATTCCTCACTGGCAGGTACCTATGTGTTTGGGTGTCTTCAGAAGGTAGGGTATAGCCTTCCACTCCTAGAGTACTGTTCTAGTATAGACCCTATTTAAACAGCTTCGGATAGGTTTAAACATCTCCTTGGCTAATTCCTAGTATCCCTGTTCCAACTCCTACTCAGGGATGATAACTCTAAGAGGTGTTAGGGGATTAGACTGAAAATGTAGGTCACCCCCCAGCCATCTGGGAAGCAGAGTGAGTGAGAGAAGAGAGAGGGGCAGAGGCACACACAGGGAAAAGGTGAGAGGAAGCAGAGGGCATGTGAGGGCAATTACAAGAGTCTCTGACGGACTGGTGGTAATTAGATTTCAGTGTCCCTCGGTGGCCCGGAAGGAAGGAGCAGGGATCCCTGTTCTCTCTTCTTCTGATCCTTTTCTCAGGCTGGGCTGCTTGTCTTGGAGCTGAGTCAGCAAGAGCGCTAGAGCCTGAGGATCAGATGCCTGTGTTGTGGACATCCTCATGGGGAAAGTTGCTTTTCCCTCTGAAGCAATGACTATGAGGGGCATAAAACCAGTCAGGGTGAAAGTGGGGCTGGGGGCAGAAATATGAGGATTCTTAGAAGCAGGAAATGAATCCAACAGTCCTGGTGAGAGTAAATTCGGGGAAGCTGGTTACCCCAAACACATTGATGAGGGACTATGGGGCCTTCGAAGGTGGGATTCTGGGAGCTCATCTGGCTCTCTTTCCCAGCCTCAGGCTTTGAGAGGCTGAGGCCCCTGCTTAGATGGCGGGGTGGCAGCTGAGGCCAATGTGGCTCTCTGTATGGAGGAACCGCACACACGTTAGACTGTTCATGAGGAGCAATGTTGGGACCGAGGCTCCCTTTCCTTCTTTAGGAACAGACATACTTGTCCTCTCCTCTCCTTTCTCCCCCACCCCCATCCCTATGTCCAATAAGATATGCAAATCACCTCCTTTCCTCATTGGTCGGATGACTGAGGACCACAGATGACCTCAGAGAGCTGGCCCTTTAAGAATGCCCTTTGGGCTCTGTGCCCACAGCCCCCTTGTTCTGAGTGCAGAGGCACCGGGCCCTGCTCCATGGGGCCTCTGGTCTCTGGGGAAGCTGTGCTCTGACACTGACCACATCATCTCTGTCATCCCTAAAGTGAGTATGTCTAGGCCTACCTGGGTGCCAGGTCCCTCACCTAGAGCCCTCCTCTAACACCTGCTGCCTGCTGTCTGTTGTCTCATTTCAGGAATCCTCATATTTCTGTACCCTGCCCAACTCTCACTCTGACTGGCCTTATGTCCCTCACTGCTGTCACATCAGAAAGGTAACCATCCCCATGTACCTCTCTTCCGTCCCTCCAGTTCTCTTTGGACATCTCTCTTAGCGTTTCACCATCTCCTCCCCTCCAAGGACCGGTTCCTTCAACCTGTGCCTGTTTCCATCCCTTCTGTCCTGTCAAGGGTGAGGGGCTCCACAGAGAGGGCAGCAACTCTTCCTTGGTGACAGGAAGACAAAGCCTGGTCCTTCGGTTCTGAGATGTGGTTGTAAAGAGGACGACCTAGGCTTGTGGCATCGAGATGGAGGCATCCAGCCCTGGGGATGAGCACTCCCTTGTCCATCTCTGGGGATGGCAGGGGAGCTGGTCTAGAGCTTGGGACGTCCAGGCTGGGAAGGATCTCTGAGGTCACTTAGCTAGAAGTTCCTCAGGTGAGCACATGCCCCAGGTTTGAAAACAGGAGAGTTTCTTACTAACGTAAGTTTGGGACACTCTGTGTTGAACAGATGGTTTACAAGAGGTTATCTGACTTTTCAGATTAACACGCTTTTGTGTTTTGTGAATTTGTAAGAGGGGGAGACAAGAGGCATCATTTCTTAAAATTATCTGACCATAGACCTCTATCTAGGTATTTCTCAGATTTTGTGTTCCACAGAATACTCTTTGGGAGGGGCCAAAGAGTGTGGTGGATAAAGGTGCTGGATTCCCATGGTTCGAGTCCCGGACCTGGCAGCTTCCTTTCTCTTTCTCTCTCTGCCTCTGTTGCTGTCTGGTCAAATTGAAAAATAATAATAACAAATGGAATTAAATAAATAATAATTCTTTAAAAAATGCTCTTTGGGATGGGATCAGCACATGGTGTACTGATTACATCGATGGACTCCCACTTAGTCGACTGTGGCTCGAGTCCCGGACCTGGTGGCTTAAACCTCGCACTGAGCAGTGTGTGTGCGTGCCCAAGATCCTGAGAGGAGAATGAAGGAGGAGGGATGGTGGCGTGGCCATCCCCCCAGCAGGTGATTTCTCACTTTCTGTCTCTCTGTCTTTCTCTGTCTCTCTGGCAAGTGCCACACCCTATAGCAAAAATCCCTCTCTCTAAAATATAAATATATGTATATATGTGTGTGTGTGTGTGTGTGTGTGTGTGTACAATCTTTGGGAAATGTTATAAAGACAAACTCCCCTCACTGAACAGAATGAGAAGTGGGTTAGAAAAACAAAGGTGATCTATCCAAGTTCACATAACAGCGGGTTCTGAATAGAAGGAAAATCCGTTTTTATCAGTTCCTCTTGGAGAGACTGGCCTTGAAGAAAGATGGTGACTACTTAGTCCTGATCTTTCTAGAATTGATACTAGGACCTTTTTTTCTTTCCTTAGAAAGTTTCTTGCTCCTATGAAGGGGATTTATTGATTGATATAGCCATAGAACAAATGCACATCAATGGTCCTCTTTGTGTAAGGCACAGTCCTGGGTGCTTTGAGAGAGAGAGAAAGAGAAAGGTATAGCAGCACAGTTATCTTTACATCTCAAAATTCACAGCACACGTGCCTTCCCACTGTCTTACGATATGCATGTACTCTGTCACAGTTAATTAAGCAAAACTTTTTTTTTTTTTTTTTGTGGAGAGGGGTTTTTGCTATAGGGCGTGTGCTCGCCAGAAAGACAGAGAGAGACAGAGAGACAGAAAGTGAGAAATCACTCCCGGGGAGGGATGGCCACTCCACAATCCCTTTTCCTCTATTCTCCTCTTGGGATCTTGGGCACACGTACACGCACACCCAGCGTGAGTTTAAGCCACCGGGTCCGGGACTCGACCTGTGGTCGACTACATGGGAGTGCAGTGACATAGACATTATGCCAACTGCTGGTCCCAAGCAAAACTTTTTAATTGCTTGGAAATGGAATGATGCCTCTTGAGATGACAGAGCCTTTCGACATGTCCCAGCACAAGGGTTGGAGCACTGCCATATTGCTTTGGCTTTTCATCGATCCCGGGGCCTCTTCCTCCTTCAGGGCTTCAGCTGCTTGTCCCTGTCAGAGGCCTCTGCCACCTGAAAGGTTGCCCTCAGGTGACGATGCAGGGAGCAGGACTGCACCAGCATTCTGGCTTTCCAGAACTCTGACTCCAGAGCACTTGGACTTTGGAGAGAGAGCAGGCAACCTCCTTGTGTTCCAGACCTCTCCTCTTTTTTGCAGGTACAACCCTTCCAGCCTGGTCCCCGGAATGGCACTCCCCCCTAGTCCCTTGGCCATGGAATATGTCAATGACTTTGACTTGATGAAGTTTGAGGTAAAGCAGGAGCCCTCTGAGGCACAATCTGGCCCCCCCACAGCCTCACTGGGCTCCACACCTTACAGCTCAGTGCCTCCTTCACCCACCTTAAGCGAACCAGGCATGGTAGGGGTCACTGAGGGCCCCCAGCCGGGCCTGGAGGAGCTGTACTGGCTGGCCACCCTGCAGCAGCAGCTGGGGACTGGGGAGAGCCTGGACCTGAGTCCTGAAGAGGCCGTGGAGCTCTTGCAGGGCTCAGTTCCTGTTGAGGGACCCCAGGGATATTACCCAGGAAGCCCAGAGGAGACAGGAATCCAGCATGCCCAGGTGAGTGCCCAGCAGGCTGGACTGAGGGAAGGTGAGCTTAGAGGGAAAGACAGCCCAAGAGAGAAAGACAGTTCCTTGAGAGGGTTATGGACTAGAGGCAAGAGAAGGTAAGAAGGACCCTTGAGATAAATCAGGTAGAGGAAACTAATACATTCTGCTTCTCTTCTTTTTAATTTTCTTTTCAAAATGGAGAGAAATGAATAGGCTGAACTAGGAAGAACACAGAGATCAGATTAGAAAAGGGCTCAAAGGGGAAGGATTGAGAATGATAGCTTCCTCAGATTGGCGGTTAAGAGGAGGTAAATAGATGCACCTTACGAGTAAACCAGGGAAAGGGCTGTGTGCGGAATGGCGCGGGGTTAAGTTTGTGGTTGAGGTTGGCCTTTTCAGGACGTCGTGTCATCCCAGTCCTCCAACCTTCTCAGGAAGGATTGGGACTCATCCTATTAATTATAGACACAGATGGGGGTGTTGACGGCGTTAGGATGTAATCCAGATTCTTCGAGGGTCACCACCGGGTTGCGGTCCTCGGGGCCAGGAAACGCGGTGCACTGGAGGGGCGGGGTTTTCTGGCCGTCTGTCCATTGGACACACCGGGCTGCACACTGCCAAGGGGGGAAGGGAGATCAGGTGGGCGATTGGCTCACCTGGCCGTGGGAGGCGGGGCTGAACTGCGGGGCGTGTCGAGCTGCAAGGGCCAGTGCGTTGGTCTGGGCAAGTCGGGACCTGGGGTGGGGTTCTCTTACGCAGCTAGATTGCGTGGAAAATAGAGTTCAGGTAAAGATGGGGGCCGGGGCTGAGCTTTTACGAGGGCGGGGGTCTGTCTGCGTTAGGATCTGAGTGTGTACTGGAGTGAGACTCGGCGCTAACCTGGTCCTTGCGCTCCCCCTCCGCAGCTGGCCCAGCGGTTTTCGGACGCAGCGCTGGTATCCATGTCTGTGCGGGAGCTAAACCGGCAGCTGCGGGGCTGCGGGCGCGACGAGGCGCTGCGGCTGAAGCAGAGGCGCCGCACGCTGAAGAACCGCGGATACGCGCAGGCCTGTCGCTCCAAGCGGCTGCAGCAGCGGCGCGGGTTGGAGGCTGAGCGCGCCCGCCTGGCCACTCAATTGGACGCGCTGCGGGCCGAGGTGGCCCACCTGGCCCAGGAGCGCGACCTTTACAAGGCTCGCTGTGACCGCCTGACTTCGAGCGGCCCAGGGTCCGGGGTACATGCCCACCTCTTCCTCTGATCCGCTGGGGGCCGCGGGATGGTGGAGGAGGTGGGTGGAGGGGCAGCGGGGAACCACCAGGAGGCGGTTGTACCATTCACTGGATAGTTACCAAGAGCCTTCTGGTCCCAGGCACTCCCTGTACGACCACACAAGTATTCTCAAACTTCTTGGACCCATAAGGCATGCCCGAATTTAGATGCCAATCATTTTCTGGGAGAGGGAGCCCTTGCCTTTACACAGGCCATCACAGAAACCTAGGCCACATGACTAGCACACTCAGTTCTTTAAGGACTGGTGCCTGGTGCCAGGCACAGGTGGAGGTGGGGGTGGGGTGGAGATGTGAGTGATGGCTAGGTGACAATGAACCGGAGATGAGGGATGGCACAGCTCCCCCCTCAGTTTAGTTTTTAATTCAAGGTTTTCAGCCTGTAGTGTATTAAGGATGTAATTGGCAATGAAGCTGTATATTGATTCTGAGGCTTGTAACCTCTTCATTTTAGGACTATTGCATTTTCAAGACTTCAATTATAGCAGCGAGGCAGACTTGGACATCAATCCAAGATGCTTTTCCCCTACCCAACCCGGTGGCCCCCTGGGCTTAGAAAAGCAAACGCTTGAGGAGTGAGCTCTGGAGGTGGTTGGTGTGGGCTGGGACAGAGCCCTGGGCAAGAGTGGAGCCCCAGGCACTAGTCCTAGCTCTGCCATGGGATCCCTCTGTCACCTTGAGCAAATCGATTGCTCCCTGGGCTTCAGTTATTTCACCTACTCCTTATTCGGATTGAATGACTCCTGACACCATTCCAGTTCTGGCATCTGCCCAGTGTGGGAGTCCTGTTGGCCTCCCCAAGCACCCCCCCCCAAGATGACCTCATCAGAGGGCCCTCCTGTCCTGGCTGCAGCTTGGGCGGCCAATGAGCCCAGGTGAGGAAACGTGTTTTTTTCTGCATGCAGGCATGCTTGTAAACACGCAAACACACACACACACACACACACACACACACACACACACGTTCTCTCTGGGTTGCCTCTGCCTCCAGACCTACCTCCTCCTGCCTCTCTGAGAGTCGAGGTGAGACTTCTCAGGATGACAAGGAGTTGAGAGTGTAGCTTTTGTGAATTAAACTTGAGGTCCAGGAGGAACCTTAATGCCATTGGCTAAGTGTTCTTGCAATTTAAGAAAGGTCTATTCTTTATCCCTGCTTCAGGCTACTGTTCTGTGTCTATGTGTGGGAGAGGGAGAGAGAGAAACTGGGAAGTTCCCACCTGGAACTGAGAGGCACAGCTTGGTTCTGGGGGGCTAGTGAAAATGGGGTGGAGGGGTAGAGATTGGGCCAAATGGAGCCTTCCCCTCCCACCACCGCCATCACCACCACCACCGCAAAGCTCAGGAGTAGCAGTAGTGGCCCAGCTAGATCTGCCAGTGGCTATGAGGTCTCACAGTTGCTATGGTAACCCAGCCTTCCAGTTCAGTGGCCTCAGGGGAGGGCGGTGGGGCCTCTGGGCAGAGCAGCCACCTCACCAGCCTCTGTCTCCTGTCCTTTAAGGGACATAATAAATGGGAGAAATGATTGGACCTTGGAGAAGAGGCTCCCATATGTCTCTCTTCCTTTCTGCCCCCTCTATCCACCCCCTCCCCAGCTGTCTCTTCTTTTCTCATCGTTCTTGTTCCCTCCTCCCCCTCCTCCAGCCCAGCACATCCTTTCTCCACTTGGGAGCCTGCAATGGGAGTCTTCTCCTCCATCCCTTTTGATATTTCTTTTTTCTCCTCTTCCTTCCCCACTATTGGCTACTGGTCATCCTCCCTGGCTCTGATCCTCTCTCTGAAGGGCACATGACACCTGCAGCTTCTCCTCCGTTCCCTTTCACGCTGATTGTTCAAGAGAGGGGCTGAGTCAGGGAGAGTCCAGGAGCCCAACCCTTCATCCTCTCTCTGAATTGCACCTGTGTCCTTGCCTGCTCGCTGGGGCTGCAGTCCAGATCCACCACCTTTCTGTTTGCCTTTCTTACCTGCATGGCACACAAGGGCAGAGATCCCCACCCACAGACACCTGTGCATGACATCTATGTATATACCTAGGTCTCAAGATGATACACCTGGGTCACATGGATATGGGCGAGCTCTTCAAAAAAGTTCATGGATATTGTATGAATAATATTATGAAAAGACTATGCATAGATTTAAAAATTTTTGCACCAAAAATAAATTTGTACTTTAATTCTATTTTTCTATGCACTTGCTGAAGTTCCCCATTTATACTTCAAACAGAAGTTGCACTCTGGTGATTAAGAGTGCAGGTGCTTTAGTCAGATGAGCCTGGGCTCCAGTTCCAGTTCTACCAGTTCTTCTTCGACCATGGACAAGTTAAAAATCAAGCCTCACTAGCTTTGTCAGAAAAATGGGGGAAAATAATGGTAACTTGTCTAGTGAAAATGAATACATTTAAAGGAGCTCTTAGCGCAAAGTCTGACACAAATAAATAGTACTCTTTGATGTTGTCGCTAATGTCATCTTTAAGAGTACTCACTGGGGCCAGCCAGTGGTGTGGTGGTTAAGGGGTTGGATCTCACATGGTTGATTGCATGGTTCGAGCCCCAGATGCAGGGGCTTGAAAAATGCACAAGACTGTGTGTGTGTGTGTGTGCCCAAAATCCCAAGAGGAAAATGGAGAAGGGATTGTGGTGTGGCCACCCCTCTGAGGGGCGGGCTTTCCTTTTCCCACCTCCCACAAATGCATGTGTCCTGTAACAAATTAAAAAATGAATAAATAAATAAAGCGTATCCAGCTGGACTCCCTGAACCATTGAGGTCACGCTCACACAGTCAGAGATGTAGTACACAAACACACACATTCAATGCCCAGGAAAACCAGGCCATACAGACCTAAGATGCTTCTATGTCTCTAATTCTCTAGCCCACCTGCTGCCCCCCTGCAGTACCCCATACCCCATCTTGGCCCGCCCCACAGCTGTGTGGAGGCTGGGGTTCAACCCCTGGGGGAACTCAGCAGGGCCTCTCTGGAGACAGTTGTAAGAGTATCACCCTGCCCCCTTGACAGCCCCTTATCACTTCCTGCTCTCCTGTAATTAGCCCTGTGGAGCCTGGGCCCCCTGGGGTTGGGAGTGAGGGTGGGGGTTCTTCAGACCCCACTGCATATAGCTAGGGTAAGACAGCGGAGCAGCAGCCTGCTTGGGGAACTGGGCTCAGATTTCAAAAGGTGCTCGTCCTCATTTCCCTCATTTCTCATGGGGTGCATGGGGGTGGTGCTGTGGCCTGCACAGTGGGCATCTGAGGCATGATGGACAGGCAGAGGTACTAGCAGTGGTTCCTTTTATTAACAGCCAGAAAGTCAAGATCACTGAAGGAAGTCACTGAGGGGCACAAGGTTGGGGGTTAGGGGACTTGGAGAGATGGAGACAGGGCCCACCACTCACTTCCGGGACCCAGGAGGGACAGCTGGTCCAAGAGGCACAGGCACTGGGCACTTGAGTCACAAGGGTCAGAACAGGCACCTGGGAGGGGGTGGGATACCCATAAGCACCTTCCTCTTCTATACCCAGCCAAGCTGGAAACCACCAGACTCCACTTAGCACCCCTTTGTGTCCACCCGTTTGGGCACACTGGACTCACTGAGAGGCTGAGGGAGTGTTGGTCTGATGGGTGGCAGTCATGGGCTAGGGCTGGGGGTCGTGGCTGCCCTGGGAGCCCCGGGGCTGATGCCCTGGCTGGCATAGTACTCCACCACCTGCCGTGGCACCTCGGCCAGGACGCACTTAGCTAGCGCAGAGGGGGCAGCCTGAGGGTGGAGGTAGAGATGTGGTTAGGGGTGGGAGAGTGGGGGAGGTCGGGTCAGGTCAGGGAAGAGTGGGGTTTTCGGGTGGCCAGTGGGCTTCAGTGTCCTCATCAAACTGGTTAGATTTGGGGGCATGAGGAGCTGAGCACTCCTTAGGCTGGGAGGGGCGCCAGACACTCACATCCTTGAAGTCTCGGAAGGGCACGAACTGGACGATGTCACGGGCCGCAGGCACCCCTCGGGGGCAGCGCAAGGTACCGTCGTCACCGTCCAGCAGCCGCATGTCAGAGAAGTCTGCATTACCCACTCCCACAATGATGATGGACATGGGCAGGCGAGAGGCACGCACGATGGCAGTGCGGGTCTCAGCCATGTCACTCACCACTCCGTCTGTGAGCACCAGCAGCACCGAGTACTTCTGAGGGCAGGCAGATGGGAAGGAAGGGTTGGCTCTGTGTGCAAGGGCATTACAGCTGCCCAAGCCCAGGCTCCGCCCTGGTACCACGCCGAGATACGTGGGGCCGTGTCCGACGGTCTGCTGGGTCTCCTCACCGTGGCCTGGCCTGTGCTCTGCTCTCGTTGGGCAGGCTCAGCCACCCGGTTGATGATGGGGGCCACGTTGGTGGGGCCGTACAGCTGGATCTGGGGCAAGCAGCGACGGTAGGAGGCGATGACCCCGGAGATCTCTGTGGACAAAGGGGAGAAATGAAGCTGGCAGAAATGATCAAGGTGCTCTTCTTGGCATTTTCTAATTTTTAAGTTTTATTTATTTGGAGAGGTTTTTGCTATAGGGCACATGCACTCACCAGAAAGACAGAGAGGGACAGAGAGAGAGAGAAAGTGAGAAACCACCCCCCCAGGGGGGATGGCCATGCCACAACCCCTTCTCCTCCATTCTCCTCTCAGGATCTTGGGCACGCACACACACATGCCCGGCGTGAGTTTAAGCCACCGAGCCATCCAAACGTGGTCAACTGCATGGGAGCCCAGTGACATTGCCATTACGCCAACTGCTGGTCCCAACACTTTTTTTATTTTTTAAATTCATGATACACAGGGAGGAGAAAGCACCCTCATTGGGGTGTGATCACACCTCAATCCTTTTTTCTCCATTTTGGTCCTATCTGGATTTTAGACATGCACATACATGTGCATGGCATGTTTTTCAAGTCAGACCAGGATTCGAACCACACTTGACCATGTGGGATCCAGTTACTTATGCATTGGGCTTAACTGCTATACTACAGGGATGGCTAAGAATTCTTTAGTCACAAAATGCTTCCTCCTCACAAGTTCCTTACTAGGCAGAGCAGAGGTAGGTGTTTCCAGGGCTGGGAGATGGGTGGGCAGTTGCTGGCCCGCGGGGCTGGATGTCTGACCCAGTGCAGACAGGCCTTGGATGGGTGGAAGGGACAGAGAGCTGGGTCATGGGAGTGGCCCTGTGTGGGGTACAGGCATGTGCAGCAAGCCTGTGTCCAGGGGCGATGGGCTGGTGGGAATCTCCCTCTTACCTTCACATTCAGGATTTTCGGGGTCAAAGTTGATAGCAAAGTCATGGGACACCTGTAAGGGTGAGTACAGTCTTTTTATCCTGTCTGACTCTCCCACCACCTGCTCCCGTCCCTCTCACCAGCCTACCTCAAAGTTGGGGGGGATTCGAGCCCCAAAGCCAAAGGCCGGGAACCGCTTGTCACTGTGGAGAAGAGAAGGCTGTGAGGCCTATCCTGCAACGTCTCCTTGTTGGACGACTCTCGACCCCACCTCCTCCTACCTGTCATAGTCCTGGCAGATGCCTCCCACTGCACGCAGGGCCTGTAGGTAGTGGTTGGGCTGTCGCGGGCTGAGGCAGTGTAGGGACTGGCTGCTTCTCGGGTCCCCGTTGGAGGCGGTGAAGTCGATGGCCACCTGGTGAAGAGAGGGTGGGAAAAAGGGTCTTGCTGAAGCCATGAGAGTCAACAGAGAGGCTAGGCCAGAGCTGGGGTCTGAAGGGAAGACTAAGATGAGTCTGGGCAAGCCCACAGGTAGCCTCATCATGTGGTGGGAGGTGGGGTACAAGCTGACATTCACAAGAAGCCCAAGTAGGGGCATGGGGATTCTGGGCTGCTTCTGTTCACTCTAGATTTAGTCTCTCCCTCTCGCTCATGCCCCTCATTCCTTGGGCCTTTACCGTGAAGCTGATCTGGCAGCCACCCATGATGTAATCCAGGAAGGTGTGCACCTTCTCCACCTGTGCAGGGGGAGAAGGCAGGTGAGAGCATGGGGTGGTCCTCAGAAGAGGGAGCTTGAGTAGGGCTTCTGTGGGGAAAGTGGAAGGGCCTGGGATTTGGGGGTTGCAGTTGTGGGTGGGATGGGGCAAGGGTTCCAGGTCCTGAGAAGCAGAGAAACTGGTGTTTGAATCAAGTGAAGGGCTAAATCTGAGATTGTTGTAGGGACAGGGGCCGGGGCAGGGCTGAGGGAGGGCCTGGATTTACCGTGCACTGGGCCAGCACTACTGTCCCTGAGCTCTTGTAATTCTTCTTCTTGTCCCGGTACTTGGGGTTGATACAGTCCCACTGCATCTAGACCCCGCCCGCCCCACAAGTGCAGGGTCACAGGTCCAGCAGGTGACCCCGCTCAGGCCCTTTCAACAGAGTCCCCCAGAGCAAGACCCTATGGCCAGGTCCTTGGGCTGAGCCCAGGGGCTCTCCCCCTTTCCCACCTCCCCTCCTCCCGGGAATC